GCACAATCAATTGCAATTTGCGTCACCGGCAGCCTCCGAACGCTGAAATGAAAGCGCGTTTTGCATCACAATAGCGGTCAGACTCTGCTTTCATTCCTGCTGTATTTGTCTGTTTGTCCAGAGCCAGCTGGGATCAGTTGACAGAATCTTAACTTTATTTGCTCTTTTGTGTCCTAATTGATTTTTAACAGATGGTGTATTTTTTGGGGGATCAAACAGAGCCAATTCCGCAAACTGTTTGTGGTACCGGTTTGCTCAGAATGTTCCTCATGTGGACAAATTATGTAAAATGGACCTTTCACTTGTATTTGTGTTGCCTTTATTTTACCCAAAGCCTAATTTGCATTGATTCTTGCATATTTGTGTTATCCTTTTATACTGCATTCAAGAGGTCATAAAATGTAGCCACCTACCACCTATTCCCACATGCATACTTTTGACTTTTCCTATGGCTAGCAATTTTGTATAAAAAAAAAGATGTCTTTTTTTCAATGTTTGTTTTTGTCTGTGGCTTCTATGTGGTTCCCCCTATAAATTACAGAACATTTATAGGAAATGTAGAGTATTTCTATCAAACATACTGGAAGATATGCTTAAAGACCCGGGATCGTTTTCATTACCTATGTTTATAGTGAGACACACGGAGAACCTGTCATTCTTTAGCAAATGTTTAATTATTTAACAAAAACAATGAAAAAACAGTATTTTATCATGAGTCCTTTACCCAGCTCTTGTCAGAATATATTTGATATTAAAGAGAAGTGAGAACACAATTTGACAATGATCTATGGGACGAGCTGTGTGAGGGCAGTCACAGAGGTATGAAAAGTCAGCAGTGGTTTGACTGGACAATCAAAATGAGTTTTTTTATAGTCTCCTTGTGATCTCTACATTTGTTGTAGGATTCTTCGGCTGCACTGTGCTGAAAACCATGTGGAGCGATAGGGGATCACACACAAACCCGAGAATTACTGGACAATTCCAGTCCAGAAGTTCTTGGGTTTTTTAATGGACTTGGACAGGGTGGAAGACATTGTTAAAAAAAATAATAAAAACAATTCCTTCAGTTGTGCTATTTCGGTTACTTGGGATGATATCAAAATTATTCTACTTTGATTTACAATATATTCTGCATAATGTGGGATTGTGTTGATGCAAAAACAAAAAAACTAAAAAACACGAAAATAGTATACCAAATTGGAAAACATGTGAACTCAGTATGTGGCTGCATAGAAATATAAAACAAGTGTTCATAATGGAAAAAACACATTGACATATTTATTTACATATGTCCTGTGATTTATTGTATAATTTTTTTCCTCATGTGCAAAATGTTTCACTCAGGGAAAGCCTAATTATCTCTCTGAGTCGTACTGAAGTAAGTGCATTACAGTAAATATTAAACACCCTAGCACAGAATACAAATCTAAAGTTATTGAAAGCTTATAAATATATACACTACCGTTCAAAAGTTTGGGGTCACATTGAAATGTCCTTATTTTTGAAGGAAAAGCTGTAGATTACTTTAAACTATAGTCTTAACTGTAAAGAAATACACTCTATACATTGCTTCTGTGGTAAATGACTATTCTAGCTGCAAATGTCTGGTTTTTGGTGCAATGTCGTAATTGCTGCAAATGGAGGATTCTTTGACAAAAGCAAAGTTGGATGTAAAACAAATCTTATTTCAAATACAAATCATTATTTCTAACCTTGTCAATGTCTTGACTCTGTTTTCTATTCATTTCACAACGTATGGTGGTGAATAAGTGTGACTTTTTATGGAAAACACTTGGGTGACCCCAAACTTTTGAACAGTATTTATATATATATACACAGTACATATATAAATATATATATACATATTTTTTATTGTTTATTGATTCCTTGGGGAAAACCTTTTTATAAAATGTATATAAACTGGGATGACATTCAATATTTATTGTAGAATGGGTATAACCTAATGTAGAATAAAGGGCATGTTTTTTACCTTGGAAAATGATTTGACATCACTGTAAAAGCATCAGGGTGTGACTCCTCTGTGTCACACACCACACACTAAATCTCCAGAGTCTATTCGGGGTTGAGTCACATTTCTAGACCCGCACAAGCAGCTGATAAAGTTATTTTACACGTAAGGAACACAGCTCTGTATTTAGCAGCTCCTTCAGGTTTATTATTTTATTATTCACCTTTATTTAACATTTTACCACTAAAAGTCGTAGCCTCATTATATGATTGAGTGGTTTTTAAAGCACCACTCAATCACACTTTTTCTGCAAAGCTGAGATTCTCCATGGGTTGTGGAGTTACCCAATTATGTGCTCATTTGTCCCACTGAGATTCTGGAATCTCACTGACCACACAGAACAGCCGTTTTGTTCGGTGTGGTCAGTGAGGGTGATAGGGGAGAATACTGTTAATGTTTTTAGTGGTAAAGGAAACTGCAACACCCAGAGGGAACCTATGCAGACACGGGGAGAATAAACTCTGAACATGCTGTTTGTAGGAGGAATATAACCCAATGTAACTTACTGCAAAGCACAACTGTGAGCTAATGGCTAACAGAGCTAAATCAGTAGCATACCTCTCTGTTCTCGATTGTGCTATGGACTGACAGACCGTGTGTGTTCACGTTCAAACTATGGTGCTGCAGCAGTGCTCGTCACAGCCTTCCAACAAAGCTCTGTTGCTATGGATTGTGTCAAATGGAACAAGCTAAATGGTCCTTTTTTTAAATTACTGTAAATATACAAGAAATGTCTTCCTCAAAATGAGAAATAAAAAAACAGTTCTTGAAATAAGGCTAAATGGCTTTGCCCCATTGGCAAATCTCATTTTAAGTCTGAATGTACTCAAATTAAGATAAAACACACTTTATTCAAGAAATTGTAACCTCTTATTTCTATCATTTTTTTTGCAGTATGGGTTATAAACTTTAGGCACTTTATTACCATTGTCAAAATAATGTATTAATCTCTTTGTATGGATGAAAGTGTTTCTACTGGACACCTGAATTTATCCTGTGGAAAATGAATACGGTATCAATCTATCCATCTTTCTATCTAAGCGGGAATGAATGTGGATTGCGTGTTATTTTTTAACAATTTAACATTATTATTGAGGGCTGACTTCAAACAAAAATAGGTGGTAAGAATCTATATCTGTACAAAAATAAATCATATCTTTGCTCAGTGTGTCCTGTGTCAGCCTGTCTCTCCCTGCATGGAGAACAGTGCCTCCCTGCATGACTTCTGTAGCCTCACAGTGCTCTTCTAGGAGATTCCAGTGTCTTGTTTTCTTCAGGCCTGCTCTGTGTCTGGGCTCTCAGCATGAGCTCCTAACATGAGCTGTGCTGCAGCCTCCACCAGTGAACGAGTGGGAGTACGAGGAATAAAACAACTTAGAAAATTGTAAGAAAATAATGCTTCTTTGATCTAAGGGGTAGTAAATATTTAATGACATACTGAAAAGCTATTCAAATATACTTTCATAAATCAGGAAATGACAGCAAGCTGAAGACCGATGCAGGACAAACACCATTTCAACCATATAAAAGGATGCACCAACTGTTTTTCTCCAACGCAAATCTGTATGAGGACCTTTTTAGAGCGCAAACAAAAGCCCTGTAGTTTTGGTCTTTGGTGAATGGTACGATATGATTTGTATTTTTACAGGGACAGCATGCAATAAACATTAGCCAAGAGGAGAAATGTATTGTACCAGGTTGTAGTAGCAGCGCTAATTTTCACCGGTAGTCCCTGAGGAGGTCGTTTTAAAACAGAAAAACAATAAACCATAGATTTAGCAAGCAAAAATTACAATTTACCATACAAGTTATAATACAATAGTTTACTTCTTGGTAAATATAAAGGAGGGGAACTGTTCTTGTCTGGATTGTTGGGACCTCCCATGACATTACAACTGATGTCATGCGAAATGAGATTAAGAGGCCTGTTATAAAGCAAAAGCATGAGACAGAACCCAATATTGATCCCCGGGATGAGAAATTCAGGTGGTCAGAAACACATAAGTACCACAAGTACCTTTCTAACTCACTAACTAACAAACAATAATGCACATGTTCAATATAGAGTATGGTTTCTGATGTTACTGATGTTTATTCTGCTCATATTCTCCGCTGCTAAAGTACAACATACACATCTGTAAATATTTCTGAACCACCTGCAATTATAGCTCCAGAATTTATTTTATGTTATTATATTTTACCATCTAATTTTAATTTTATTGTCTATTATCTTAAATGATAGACTCTGTTTGATGTGTGCAATGTGAGTGCTCTTATTTCCTCCTTTCTCTGCTGTAATGTGCGCAACGATGACACTGACATATCTCCTCTGTGAGACGAATAAAGGAATATCTTATCTATACAGTCTTATAGCTGAAGGAACAAAGGATCTCATAAAACGTTCCATTCTGCAGCACAAAGATAGACTTCAAATAAGAGAGACGGATCATTATTTAAATCTTTCACATTTTGATTGTGGGGCGACAGTAGCTCAGTTGGTAGAGCATTGGCCTTAAGGCCAGAAGGTCGTGGGTTCAATTCCCACCTCTACACCTTCTCCACCGACTCCCACTGATGACTGCTGTTGTTGTGTCCTTGGGCAAGACACTTAACCCCACTTTGCCCAAAGCCCCCGCTGGAAGATCTCAGCTCCTGTGGACTCACCACCCGCAGAGGATCAGTGAGGGGCTGGTGCTATGAGACTTGGGTGGCATCTCTGACTGCCACCCCCCCTGACCCAGAAATGGATTAAAGGGTAGAAAATGGATGGATGGACATTTTGATTGTTGGTTATATTTTAACAATTGGCTGACAAATGATAGAAATACAGTTATACCTGTTATTGTAATTGTGTTGCGATGATATTCACTCAAAGCCAACTGGGACGTACAGTATCAGGCATTTTGCTGGCATCCAGGTAAACGCTCAGATTGTTGTTTGTGTGAAGTGGGTCAGATGTGTCCGGCTGAGAATGTCCTCCTTTGTGAAAGTCACTCAGCTCCCACAGTACACCGCGGCACCGGCAGCTCACCATCAGTCTCCCGTACCTGCTGGACTCATTTTAGTCATCCGTCTGAGGGAAAGGTCAGCCACTGCAAACGGCAAAAGATTAAGATGATTCCAAAGGTCTGTGATACTCAAACTGCAATCCAGCACAAGTAAACAAGCCCGCACTTTCAGTCTGTGCCCTGAGGAATTTAGAAACTGTTTGCATTGTGTTCTGAATGTTAGTTAGTTACAAATTCTTATTTATATATCTGGGAATTTTTCTGCATATTTCAATCTCTCCACAGCTGTCTTGAGGCGGATTAGATTAGATTTAGATGGCACTTCTTTTCAGACTAGTTCATGTAACATGTGAGTACCTGGTTATGAAACAGGGATGGACGAAGCAAGGTTATTGGTACCAATATTTGGAATTGAGTCCAGGCCTGGATACAACCAGTGGGGGTAGGTCCCAGCTCAAAAAGGTCCATGAGCATGTGCGCTGACATGCTGCAGTCTCACACCGAGCCGGTGGGGGTGGACCCAGAAAGAGACTGCTTTTGTATGCCGCTGCCTTTCCTCTCAAAAACGGCTTTACAGGAGGATCCATTAGTTTCAACGGCAGAGATAAATGTTTCTGTAAAAGATGTGGAGTTAACTTATGTTTGTGAACAAATAATAACAATAAATAAATAAATAGATAGGTGTGACTACGTACGTTTATATTTACAGTCTATGGATACAACACAACAGCTGTAGCAGACCACAGTCATACTTACTCTAGCTCTGTTGTGACATAACTTACATTTGAGCTACTGTCCATATTTGTCTCTGTTTATTTTGTTTGATAAGAACATATTTTAACACATTTGTATATTAATTAAACAACAATGTACAGTTTAAAATATGTTCACTTCAGATGCAAATGAATACTGGCCTCCTTGACCATCAGCCCTGAAAAAAAGTCACCCTCTAGTCTGGGACGCCCGACCACCGCATTCTATTTGTTATAATGTTGTTGCAATGATTGCAAGTGCCATTGCCATTGACGTCATTTTTTTGCAGCCATAAGCACCAACAAGAGCTACATCTAATCTAATGATTCAGGGAGAGCAACGTATTGAGAAAATACTGCATATCACAATTAAAATAAGCGTACTTAAAACATTTTATGATTAAATAATAATTTCAAAATTACAAAATTAAGCTTGGAATAGCTGTGTTTTTTGTTTTGTTTTGTTAGTCGAGAGATTTTCTCATTCCATTGTTTAATCCTTAGCAACTTGTTTTTTCTTATTCTTATATTGTGACCTGAATGATCATAACTTCCGATTAAACCTGGTTATCTTGTTGTCCCTCATTCACAGTTGAACTGAAATGACAATGGATCTTTGGTCTGTGGTCGTTTGTCTCTGTCCCCCTTGCCTGTGGCCCCAGGCAGGCATCAGTCAGCTGGGATCACCCGCACCACTCAGAACACTAGACTTCATTAACAGATATGGATCTCCCGCCATGTCCAGATAAAACCCTTCACCCCCAAGAAAGACATCTGTACGGTTTTGTCCGGGGGCACAGTTTCCCCCTGTCAACCTGAAGAAATGTCGCCATATATCTCCTCGCAATTTTTGAAGACATTTTTAGTTTATGATTACGTTTTGTGTGGTAAGAAAAATATAGTCCTTGTTCAATGTGCCTTAAAGTTCTTTTACAATGTTAACAATAGAGTACGTTTGGTCGGTAACATTTAATCTAATACATTATTCATTCCTTTGCTGATACTTTGTTAGAGTGACTTTGTTTTGTTAGTGTGACTTTCAGCGTAATGCGCCCCAATCGTTGTGGCGGTGACTGATAGTGGACAGGTGCGTTTTCTTTTTAGGGCGTAAACAAATACTACATGGGACTCATTTGATTAAAGAAATTCTTGATCACAGTTGAACTAGCAGAAGCCTTTGTGGAAATTACTTTCCTCTCACTTCATTGGGTGACCGACTCCCAGTGCCACATGTTCTGTTTATTATGCTGTTGTTCCCGCCAAGGGCTTCTGGCTTCACCAGGGTTTGTTTGTTTGTCTTTCTGTCTGTTAGCTAAACATAATTCAAAACGTTATAGGCAGATCTAAGGATACCTTGTAAAAAAATCAGGATTCCTTGTAAATGAGACAAAACAAATTAGTAGGTTTTGGAGAAGATCCATATCACCATCTGGATAAAGGTGCACTTTTTTGTTTAAACACTATGGAAATATGTCTCTGTGATGGGGAGAAGTGTGACCTATGTTGGAGCTGTGCTGGAAAGAAGGACGGGACTCTAATGCAGGGCATCCTGGGTAACTCCAGACACCCTCTGTATGGCACTATGGTCATTCAGAGGACTAATCGAAGCAACAGGCTTCTATCACTGCTGCCGAACGGAACGTTTCAAGAGATCCTTTGTTCCTTCGGCTGTCAGACTGTACAACAAACCTGGATGAGTCTTCTGCTGCTAAACATCTGAACTTCTCCTACAGAGATCAATAAAAGATCTATCTATCGCTATCTAAACACTGCAGATGTTTTTGTTTATGTGTTGAAATTCGTTGTTGATCGAGAATAAGCTTCAGACTGAGGTCCTGCTTCATTGTGAGAGGCTGTGCTCTCAGCTCTGGCACCAGGGACAGAGGTCTAAATGACCCATCCTGGTCCAGACGAGTTAGTCACATCTCATCAGTGCGGCTCCTCCCCTATGTACAGCAGTAAGGGTCCTGGCTCTCACCTTTGCGGCTGGTTTTCTCCCATTTGCCAGGCAGTTCTTCCCCGTCTGCGGGGGCCTGTTCAGTCCCGATCGCACGTGGTCTGGTCCAGAAGTGAAAAAGCCGCCTCAAAGTGCTGATGCTGTGCAGTAGATTGTTTCATCAGAAAGCCACTGTTTTCCCCGCAGCCTGGCTCTTTTATCCAAGACTTAAGTGTCCAAAGGTTGGCAGCCCTAATCCCTACACCTCAGTCGTCTATGTATCCCTCACAAGCCTATCGGTGCAAGAAACGGACTGCATAATCTTTTTTAGCTTTAACCGTGCCTCGTCAATATGGATAGCATTAGCAAGCTGACATGCTGCTTACTCCGCCAAGATGCATAGCGTCTTTAGCTCAGGTGTCATCAGTGTAAAACCGATGGAAATCAATGTGCAAGAGAGAGAGACGGGACTGGGGGAGGAAGGCGGATGCAAGATGGTGGAGTTTAAATAGAGGAACACAAGTCGATCGTGACAGTGTTTGCCTCGATGATGAAGTTAATGGGAAATGAAACTGTTTTTCATTGCATTTGTACATTGCATTTTCATTGCACGTTGTACAGTAGGAGTTCAGATGCGTGACCAAACGACCAAACACAATTTATTAATGTTTGTATTTTCTTTTCCTGGAACCAGACTTTCCACAATCGTTTCGACCCAATTTACGAACATTTCACCTTGTACTGTTCTCTCTATTACTCATGTTTTTGTCTGTTTCACATATCATTTCTGGAAAAACTTCCATCAGATCGATGACAGGAGATGATTATTCCTGCACTATAAACATCTTTCGTTGAATAAATGTTCAGATATTTTCAACATAGGGCAATACTGGAAATTCACCTTTTTCAGATACCATAAATTTCAATGTGTATCTAAAAAGGATCCCTGACTGTGACTGGGCCTGCATCTCGTTCACAAGGTTGTCCTCCTGCTTGTTTCCTTGAGAATGTTGAAATTCTCACAAAGACAAACCTGTCTGGTCAAAACTTTTCAGGAATTTGAATGATGCCAAGTATTGCAAAAATCACCAGGTACATCGCCAAGGGATGACGTTTAATAATTCCTTTTTGTGTACAGTTCTAGTTCCCTGTTGACTTGCATTTTTCACATAATACAAAATATTTCTGCAAGTAAACATTACCAAACTGTGTATTGATTTTCCTGCCTTGAATTTGAATTGTGTTGTTCTTATATGTCAAATATGACCACAGTCAAATTAAAGTAATATAGACAATTAAAAAGCATTGTCCATCTCCAAAATATTGCAATAAATATTGTGCTGTGAGATCAATATCAATATCGTACAGTAAGAAATAAATAAGGTTACATCCCCACTAACGACTGGATTCATCATTTGAAACTACTGACCATTTTGTGTCTGTAGAGGACTACGTTTGGGAACTGCTTTAGGACGGTTTTGATGTGTAACAGGAAAAGTGTCTGCCACTTCCTTTAATTCATGATAAAGAAATAGATGTTCCAATTTTTAACAGAGGCTTTGAAGTTAGAGTGGAATTTTCCAAAGGGCTGGAATAACATGAGTAAATACAAGCAGATCACACCTTCTTTCTCCACACATTCAAATTCTAAACATTATCTTGGTTCAAAACAAGCAATTTACACAAACTTGCACACCAGGCCATTAAGCGCGTGGCAGTAAAGTCTGCTCGGCCTTCACGATTCTCTGTAAAATTGAGTAATTGCTACATTGTGGACTTGAAAGTGACTGGGGAGTGGTTTTGGACACAGCCACTGACTCTGCGTCAATTAGCAAAGGGAGAGTGTGGGGCGGCGGGAGAGAGAGAACGGGGCTGAGGAAAGGAAGATGGCAGCCGATGTGACAAAAACACGGTCACAGCTCATTTGCAACGTTGTAAAGTACGACCAAAAATGTAAAGTCTGACAGAAATGAGGGCGCATATATCACCGAGCAAAGCAACACATTAACCCAAGTTCATTGCAATGTTAAAGGAGATTCATGAGTTTTTGAGGGGATTTGATATAAGTGTTTGGTATATAATGTTGGAATAAACAAGGCATGGCAAGAATGAGTGTGGCACAGTTACATTCTGTCTTTGACTGGAGAAAATCCTTAAATTTGTCTTAGGTCTGTCAACAATTACTTGGATGATCAATTAAACTAGCAATGATTTTCTCGCTTAATCGATTGGTTTTTTTAGAAGACTGATGTGGGAATTCTGAAAAAGCTGAAACGATTTAGCTTGAGGACATTGCAGAATATCGTTGAACCGCATCTCTTTGGATTCTCATGTTGTCTGTAAGGCTTTAGAGCAGTTGACGATTGATTGCTAAAATAGTAGTGGATGGAACTTAAAGGTGTATAGGAGGATTTTCCCACATTTTAGGAAAAACCGCCCTTTCCACTTATTTGACGTATCTCCGGAATGATTGACAATTAGGACCACCAATAGTCTTGATGATCCACACAGAAGTAGAAAATCCTCCTCCATGCAGTTAAAAGCTCAAGAAAAGATGATGCTGCATAACTGTATATTTCAAAACGGCTTACATTAGAGACTGGTTTATAAATTTGCTGCTCAAAGCCTTGCCTCCTCTTAGCCAAACTGACGACGAAGGTTTTGCACAAATATTTTTTTCTATTGTGCTCATAGACAAACATAAAATGTGAAAGTAAATACTGATAAAACAAAGGAACTAGTGGCGCATAGGGAATAGTTGAGTTGGATAAATACCTTTTCTAACCACAGCAGTGAATGAGTCTCTGCGGTGCTGAAAGTGACAAACAAGCATTAACAGTCTTAGCACAAGATTTGCCAATATGACAAGCACAAATCTCTTGTTTTTCAATAGACAAAACAATTCTCCCTGGGAATTTGAGATTACCTGCAACCACTCTTGAAATAAAACTTTTTCAACACCATTTCAACACTGACACCTATTTTGCCCTATTGCAAGAAGCCTGGTTCAATACAAATCTAATTGAACTGAGCCTGGTTTGGTTCTGAAGTTGCAACATTGCATCATTCTCAGAGTTTGCGTTCATAATACATGGTTGTCAATTGAATCAAGACAAGATGTAGAAAGATGTACCGCCTCTGGCCTGGTGAGGCGCTGTGTCCAGTAGAGAGAGGGTGAATTATTGATTAGTTATTTTTTTTTCAACATGGCTTCAGGAAATATTCACAGCCATGTCTTTCTGTGACTATTTTCTCCTCTTATTGATCTCCTGCACATGTTTGTCAGCTCACAAAGTGTAGCCGCACTGTAGCAATTCCTTATTTAGATCCGTGAACCTATACCTCTGCAGTTAGATCAGGATTTGATTGTGCGTTCATGGTTACACAAACCAATTGCGTTATGCACACAAATGCTTTCTGATTCGAATTAAAAGTGTAGAGTGAATGCCGCCTTAAGGTTGTATTTTAGAGCGCCGTGAGCCGAACATCTTGCGAGGCGGCAGTACTTGATGTGAATACTCAGAGGACCACTGGACTCGAGCGCTTGATCAATCTCCCAATCAAGACTGAAGCATGAACTGTTCAACCAATTTCCCACTCATTCCCTCTTCACGTCAGCTGTTGCACTCCACCAATCACCACGCGTAACTTCAGTCGCATTAGCAGTCATTGCTCCAGAGCCATTCATATAACTCCACTTTTACAATACAACCACAGTAGCATAACCCTTGCCATAATAATTATATTATAATTAGGGCCGGGACTCGATACAAAAAATTAATCTTATTAATTAGAGGCTTTGTAATTAATTAATCACATTTTAATCGCATATACATATTTGACCTGGGAACAGTGAGAAGTAATTTTATTCACATGGATTTTTAGTTTACCATTGAATACCACCACCTTCCTGGTTCACGCATAGAAGTCGCCGCTCCTCCTCCTCACATGAGTCCATCGCTCGACACAATACAGTCTATGCTCCACACACAGCGCTCATTCCCGTCTCTAACTCACTGGGTTTTAGACACCACTAAAGTTGGTCTATGCTTGTAATGATGTACTTTTGAACAAAAAATGTCACTGAGCCATGCACGGAGCTCGAGTTGGTGCACCAGTATAAACGGTCCGTGTGAAACTCATCCAGTGAGGGAGGTTTTGCGGTGCAAAAGCACATATACAATTAAAATGCGTAAATGTTTTGTAACGCGCTAATTTTTGATGCATTAATTAATCTAGATTTACGCTTTAAAGTCCCGGCGCTTTTTTTGACACAAAGTCGCCTCACTTGTTGTTGTTCTTTCACTCCATACACGGTGATACACTACTACGGTAGCCACAGCTGCCCTGGGGCATACTGACAGAAGCGAAGCAACCAGTATGTGCCATCAACCCTTCTGATCACCACCAACCATTCACACATACATCACACTCATTCTAGGCAATGTGGGTGAAGTGTCATGCCTAAGGACACAACAACAGTTTTGCACTTTACAGCCGCAGCCGCCCCACTGTGTTCCCAGAGGTCTCCCATCACAGTACTAACCAGGTTCTGCCCTGCTTAGCTTCAGAGGTCTTATACATGCAGGTATGGCCACATTTAGATGCACCAACACGATATTGGATGTGATGTGTGCTATTATTTCTGCTGTTAAGTGAGCAACTATGACATTGAAATTTCACCGCTGAGGGATGAATAAAGGTTTATCTAATCTTTTATCATTGCCCATTTTGGAAAGGTTGGATAGGATATCGGTTCTGAGATATTGGTTACACTATTCTTTCAGTTGATGGAATAGTTAAGGTCTAAACTCAAAGAGGAAAAGGACAGTTTTGTAATTATAGGACAATGGCTGCGGATCTGGTCTTAAAATAGGGGTATCTTACTTTTTAAAGAAAATCAGACGTCAGTTTTGGGTCCTCTCTTTTTCACTTTTCAGGCCAAAATTGCATTTATGTGAAAACTATTGATAGTACTCCACTGTTTTTAGAGTAAGGAACGAGTAAGATAGATTTAACTGCAGGGTTTCAAATGAGTATTATACTGTACAAATAATTGAAAACAAAATTGTTTAAGCCATTTGACAAATATTGAGCACAATGTAATATAATAATCCATGAAAGATACAGTTGAATATACAATATCCCAACAAATATGGTTCCTTTAAACCA